CCGGCGCTGTATCCAGGTAAGTAAAATCCCTTCCCTGTAGTGACCCTTTAAAGTTATTATTTAATCATTTATATAGCGACTGCAAATTCCATAGCGCTGTATAATGGGATAAACAATTCCTAGTTTACGGAATAAGAATATACCCGGCGAGTAAAAATGCTATCCCCCCAGATTTTTTTGGGTTCCTACGCCCATGGGCCCAAGGTGGGTAGGAGACAGTGAGACCCCAACCAAGCTGCGGCAGTTTGTGGCGGCTGCAGTGCTTATGGTGTCAAGTGGAGTGCTTGGAGCCCTCGGGAAGCACTAGGAGCATCCTTCAACAGAGGTACCCAGGCGGGGTGCCAGGTGATCCGTTTATATATATATATATATATATGTATATACATACATATTATCTATAGATATAATACATATATATATATATATATATATATATATATATATATATATATATATACACATATATTTATTATTTTTACACTGATTGTTTTTTTTTACTTTTTTTTTTTATTTTACGCTTGCAGGGAGACTGCCTGTCAGCACAGGCAGTACCCCTGCAGGCAGATACATGGACAGCTATGTCAGATACATCTGTTAGAGCGATCATGTGGTCACAGGGTCCTAATTTGCCACAGGGAGACTGTCTGGGCAGACAGGCAGTCCCCCCCGGACTGGGAGCAACGCCGATCGCCACCGGGGGAATGGCGGTGATCAGGTAAGTACCAAATACTGTTATGACGGTTCAGGACCGTCAAGGGGATGTTTCCGGTGACGGTCCTGAACAGTCATCGGCCCTTAAGGGGTTAAAGGTTATCTGTAAACCAATGAAGAGAAAGTGAATGGTGTAAAAACTTGCCTGAAAATATACATGCAAAATATCTAACTATGTTTTGCTCAAAGAAAATAATTGGGAAATCTATATCCAAGCTAAAGTAAAAACTGAAGAAAGAAGATATTTGCAGAAGACTAAGAATGGAATTACTTTAGCAAATAGAAAGGAGAATGCAAAGTTAAGTGGGAACATAAAGGAAAGAAAAAAGGGGGTTGTGAACTAAGTAGTGAAATGGCAACGGCAAAGATACCAAAGAAGAAAGAGCTAAAAAAGGATAATAAGCATGACAAACAAATGTCTACCTTTTTCTCTCCTCAAACCAAAGAAGGAGTTAACAACTCATCCTTAGAATAGTCTTTTATGGAGGAGAGAAGAAACTCTTCCTCCAACTTACAAGAATTTATTAAAACAAAACTGGAAAATCAAATAGAAATATTTAAAAAAGGAAATAAGCAATATCACATGCCAATTAAAACAACAGATAGAAGAGATTAGCATGAAATTAATTTCAATGAAAGAAAAATATGAAAAAATAGAAATTAGCAAGAATGAAGACAAATATGATAAACTTGGAACTTAGACTAGATCAAATGGAAGACAGACAAAGAGCAAAAAACAATCATATTAAAAAATATATCTGAGGATATCATCTATGAGAAGACAAAAGGTTTCTTGTTGGAATTTTTCGCAGCACTAAATATTAACTTAGAAAACCAAGAAATGGTGATTGAAAACACGTATTGGGTGAAATAACCACAAAATATTCCAGATTAATGTCCTAGAGATATGGTGATCTCCATATACTCTCTACAAAAAAAAAAAAACAGGAAATAATTCATGCACGTAGAACAATGAAGATAACAGAAGAAAGATTTAAAAACATCACACTATATCAAGATCTCTCATCAAGAATGTGGAGAAAAAAAATTGCCTCAGCTTTGATGCCACAAGCAAAATAACATAAGATATAACTGGGGCTAACAGAACAATAATAGTGTACTGGAAAGAGACAAATAAAACATTTGTGGAAGCAAGGGACCTGGAGGAATTGACAAAAGTGCAAATGAAATGAACAGACCAGACTTATGATGTTTTCGAGAGGAACATGAAGAGAAGGGGAGGAAAGGAGAAGAGGAAAGAAAAAAGAGAAAAAGAGAAATTTTGGTGAACAGAAGATAACTTGGAATAAATAAAAAAAACTGTCACAGAGAGGAGAAAGAAACACAGTGGACTATGATGAAGGACATGTGGGTCTTTTTTTATATATGGACAGGGACTGGGATTAACGTTCATAATGAACATAAGTGTTAATATATATGATATAAGGTGTGACTAGCAGAGATATAAAGAATAGTGATGTCGCGAACACAAAATTTTCGGTTCGCGAACGGCGAACGAGAACTTCCGCAAATGTTCGGCGAACTGACTTCAATGGGCAGGCGAATTTTAAAGAACACAGGGACTCTTTCTGGCCACAATAGTGATGGAAAAGTTGTTTCAAGGGGACTAACACGTGGACTGTAGAATGCCGGAGGGGGATCCATGGCAAAACTCCCATGGAAAATTACACAGTTGATGCAGAGTCTGGTTTTAATCCATAAAGGGCAGAAATCACCAACATTCCTAAATCACAATGAATATGGATTGACACCTGACATATGACATATTGACACCTTGACATATGGATTGACACCTGTCCTCAGAGCCCCTGATGCACACGGACACAGAGCAGAATAGGGACTGGTCCCCCTACATAGGGTCACTTGGCAGATATGGATTGACACCTGTCCTAAGGATCCCTGATACACACTGACACAGAGCAGAATAGGGACTGTTCCTCCTACATAGGGTCACTTGGCAGATATGGATTGACACCTGTCCTAAGGATCCCTGATACTGATTGGGTAACTAAAATTATAGATCATGGTGGTGCAGTAGACATTGCTTACCTAGATTTCAGTAAGGCTTTTGACACTGTTGCACATAGAAGGCTTATCAATAAACTGCAATCTTTAAGTTTGGATTCAAATATTGAGTAACAGGCAACAGAGGGTTGTAGTTAATGGAATATATTCGAAGCTTGGACTTGTCACCAGTGGGGTACCTCAGGGATCTGTACTTGGACCCATTCTCTTTAATATTTTTATTAGTGATATTGCAGAAGGGCTTGATGGTAAGGTATGTCTTTTTGCTGATGATACTAAGATATGTAACAGGGTTGATGTTCCAGGAGGGATAAGCCAAATGACAAATGATTTAGGTAAACTAGAAAATGGTCAGAATTGTGGCAACTGACATTTAATGTGGATAAGTGCAAGATAATGCATCTTGGACGGAAAAACCCAAGGGCAGAGTACAGAATATTTGATAGAGTCCTAACCTCAACATATGAGGAAAGGGATTTAGGGGTGATTATTTCTGATGACTTAAAGGTAGGCAGACAATGTAATAGAGCAGCAGGAAATGCTAGCAGAATGCTTGGTTGTATAGGGAGAGGTATTAGCAGTAGAAAGAGGGAAGTGCTCATGCCATTGTACAGAACACTGGTGAGACCTCACTTGGAGTATTGTACACAGTACTGGAGACCGTATCTTCAGAAGGATATTGATACCTTAGAGAGGGTTCAGAGAAGGGCTACTAAACCGGTTCATGGATTGCAGGCTAAAACTTACCAGGAAAGGTTAAAGGATCTTAACATGTATAGCTTGAAGGAAAGACGAGACGGGGGGATATGATAGAAAAATGAAAATACATAAAGGGAATCAACACAGTAAAGGATGAGACTATATTTAAAAGAAGAAAAACTACCACAACAAGAGGACATAGTCTTAAATTAGAAGCACAAAGGTTTAAAAATAATATCAGGGTAAGTATAACTTTACTGAGAGGGTAGTGGATGCATGGAATAGCCTTCCAGCTGAAGTGGTAGAGGTTAACACAGTAAAGGAGTTTAAGCATGCGTGGGATAGGCATAAGGCTATCCTAACTATAAGATAAGGCTAGGGACTAATGGAAAGTATTTAGAAAATTGAGGAAAAATACAATATAAACAAGATATATAGAATTTCTCACACACTCATAAGTAGTGTTCACATGCAGTGCTGTGTGAATTACAATTCAACAAGTGATTGTGATAGAAAGTGAAATAACTTCCCTTAGCAATATAGGATATGCCCGAAGATTTCTTCCTATCTTCAATTCAACATGCATATGATATAGGGCTATTCCAAGCTAGGGAAACAGAACATATATGGCATAGTGCAATACTGTATACACTGTGATTGGGTATATGGGTAAGTGACAAATGCTCACTCACACTTTAACATCCCAAGAAATGCTTTCAGAAATATGCTGTGTCTTCTTTTGCTTCAGATACTTGGTAAATGTGGATCTCACAAACAAAGTGCAAAAAAATGATTGAATGACTGTTTGAGTAAAGAGTAAAAAAAGCATTTATTACTTACATCAAAGTAAATAAAAGCAGGTAAATCAGTCCAACGCGTTTCTTTCCTGTTAGGGACTTCCTCAGGGACAATCTTTCACAAGGATGATGAATAAAAATACATATAAACCTAGTTACAAACATCTCCCAATATATACCACCCCCAATCAGTCCCAATAGTGGTTCTGCAGGTGATTCCATTTCTCTTCAGCTGTTTTCAATTCAAATTTGAGTTACTTCCGGGTTTCGTGTATCCTGTGCGGTCACATGATGTGCGTGATGACGTCATGCGTTCCAGCTATGCGTTCCACCTTCGTTTTGGCTGGCACTCATAATTACAAACTGAGATGTTGAAAAAAGTCCCAAAAAAGACTGTTTCTAAGTAGAAATACAAGTGGGGGGAGTGTACAAAACGGAATTGCAAAGAGGTTAAAAAGATGTTGCTGGTTTAAAGTTTTTTTTGAA